AAGCGACTGTGCGAGAGCAGTGTTGTAGAGTGGCCGCGAACAGCAGCCGCAGAGCCCTGGTTTTGGCAAAACCTGCAAAGTGTCTTAAGAGTAGACAATCAAGTGATGTACAACAAGACCTATTCAAAATACTTCAGCACCAAGTGAAGAAGGATAATAACATGAGTTTGTTTTAAAACACGTGTGTTATATATAATTTCTCGTTTGGTTTTAAAGTGTTTCTTCTTTGACTGAACTGTTTTTAAGAACAGGTTTCCTTATAGTTGCCAAGACAGCATAATGAATCTTTTGTAATGTGTGTGAAGTTCATTAATAAACAAAACCATTTAAAAATGTGAGGCAATTTCTGAATGTAAATTTTACAGTCTACACTCTCGTTTCAAACTTAGAAAAGATCTGTGCTGAGGGACACCAGTACCAGGTTCAACAGTTCCACAAAAGATCAATTTCGAGCAAAATTGACACATCCTAAACTTTACTCCATCACAGAGTTTCCCAGAATCCACACAGTATGACTGGTTAGAACTAGCATTTTCTGTGTTTGCCTGCTATTAAATTATCCATGTGGTGGCAGCAGTGATGCAGTTGCAGCTTGCAAATTAACCCTAAAGTCAATGTCCCACACAGAAACACATCAGTTTGTCAGTAGATATATTAACAATGTAATATTAATACACTTTGCTTTTTTGGAAGTCTCGTAATCCATTACATGAAAATGAGTTATGAAGTCGCATATTTATTGCAAATGTAAAAAAATTTAATTTATCAAGCTGAGACTTTTAGTCACATTTACTCTATCGTAACGATCCCTGAATGGTGCTGGCAGTCACGGAGTTTGCAATTTTAGCCATAAAGTCATTGTCCGACTGAAAAATACATCAGTTTGTAAGCAGATGGATTATTAATGTAATATTAATGACTAATACAGTGTTAATTTTAAATTCCATTTTCATTCACACTGTTTTAGAGATTTGACTGGCACTCATTGGTATGCTCACTGGAGATTTTAACGTACAGCTCAGTTGGCAATGAAACTGTGACAATGTTTTAAAAGAGGGAAATGAAACAGATGTAGTTCTTCAATTCATCAGCTTCCTTCTTGGGGACATAACAACATGCTACTTCCTTCACAAAGGCTATCATGTTAACAGTTTGTTACTTCCTTATTTGACTTTAGTTAAAGAGTTTTCTTTAACTGTCTAGAGACAAAGAGCAAAAACTTCAAACAGACTAAATTGTTATAAATTCATGCTTTAAAAGACAAGCAGTGTTTAACTTTGCTAAATCTAAAGAAAATAAACTCTAATTTTTTTTTTTTTCAACGAATAACTGAAAGATTTTGAAGTACTGGAGCATGATAAAGGTTTTCCAGATTGTCACTCAGGGAACAATACAATAGGAATACAATGGTAAGTTTTTTTTATTTTCTCTGTTTAGTAACTTAGATTTTTACTACTCGTAATTTGATCTGTCTTATCTTTGATTATTTTCTAGTTGTTGTGTTTCATAGATTTATTTGACTCCAAAAACCTGGATAGTTTGGTTAATTCAATTTTGGAAGTGGCTTTGCTTTTTTGAAAATGTGTTAGACCATTGCATTAAATTGTACATTAAAAGTGACTCAGAACTGTTTAGAAAAATGCTCCATCATGATTACTCGATCAGTAGCTACCTTCATTTTTAAAAACGAAGTCACATATTTATTGTAAATTTTCAAAGGTAAGCTCAAACTTTTCAATAGGGTCTTTACATCTTGCTAAAGATGTAAAGACCCTATTGAAAGCATATAGCATTCCATATATTTAGCATTCCATATGGAATGCTAAAGATAATGCAGCTGCAATGAAGACCTGCGACAAATTGATGAATACTTTTAGCAAAAAAAAACCTGAAACTGCTTAAAGAAAAATGAATACAACTGTAAAAATAAGTACTTTATTGTTGAAGAAGTTTAACTTTGGTTTTCAAAGTTAAATTTAGCAGAAGAAAAAAACATTTATTGCTTGGCAACAGACACCCAGTTTTGCTCCATGACTATGTGCTGTTCTAGTGTGGGCAGTACCTTATAATGGCTGAGTAGGTAATGTTAATGAAAACAGAGTGTTGGAGAGTTGGTAGCATAACAAAAGAGGTCCTGCAGCGGCCGGAGCCTGTAGTAGCTTAATTAAGTGATGATTCAGGGTCAGTCCGAATAATTTTACCAAAAACAGAAGCATAAGGTTATTTCATATAAGGGATTTCATCAATTCTCCACAGATTACCAAATGCTGGATGCTGTTGTTCTGTCTCTGTTGCCATCATGAGATCCTGCCGGCTGCATGTAAACCCACCTGGATGACAAGGCAGTTTCCTTGTGATGTCATATCCACCAATACCTCTGAGGTCAAATTTGACTGTAAAGGGCGTCATCTAGAGAAAGTACCAGAAGGAATAACCAGTAATGCCACGGATCTAGACTTATCAGAAAATTTTATTAAGAGTATTAAAGCTGATTCACTTTCTAATCTGCTGAATTTGACTCAGCTCAATCTCAACTTTGCAAACAAGCCCAAGGACGGTTATGGCTGCAGAAAATTGAAAATTTCTGCAAATGCTTTCAAAAATCTCACAAAAATCAAGCAACTGGAACTGAGCGGCAACTGTCTGACTGAAATTCCACGCAATCTCCCCCACACTGTGGAAAAACTTGACCTAAGCATTAACAAGATTAGTTTGGATAAATTGAACAATTGTTTTATTGGCTTAAAAAACATAACAAACCTGTTTCTATCTAAAAACTGCTACTTCTGGAATCCCTGTGGGAAGTCTGTTGCTATTATGGAAAAACCCTTTCAAATACTGGACAAACTGCTGGTTCTTGACTTGTCTTTCAACAACTTAACACACGTTCCTAAAGGACTACCCCAATCACTAACATCTTTACATATGGATTCCAACAAAATAGAGTACATATCTAAAGATGATTTCCAGGGGTTGCTAAATTTAAAAGTCCTTGATATACAAGGCAACTGTCCAAGATGTCACAATGCTCCGTACCCTTGTGTTCCTTGCCCTAACGGTTCTATTGACATACATTCTGATGCATTTCAAAAACTGAAACAGCTGGAGACACTGAACCTGGGAGGAAACTCACTAAATTACCTTAAGCCCTCTTGGTTTCAAAGTCTAAAGAATCTTAAAGAATTATTTGTGGCATTTAACTTTTTACAAAAAGCTGTAACTGGTAAGGACACACCAGTTACAGCTTTCAGTTATCTTCACAGGCTAGAAAAACTTGACCTGTCTTTCAATTATGCTCTTGGATTGTACC